TTTCACAATTGCAAAAATGCATAAAACAGCGTTTCCAGAAAAGTGGCACATAACTTACAAGAACTGGAGCCGGTTGGCCGCTTGCAACGGAGAGAAGCGTCATCACGGGATTTTGCTCCGATCGATGTGACAAGAAAGCTGTTTCGATTCTTTCAAGTTCCTGCGGGTCACCAATGCATAAACGACGCGCCAAAATCATTGCATCCGAATACAGTCCATCTCTCACTGCGCTATCAAGAGCTTCCTGAAATAATAGAATTCGGCGGTGAATTAGGAAGCACAATAAACTGTGACTGGATTCGAGCATATGCTGTAAACTTAAGATGATTCGTGGACTCACTGAAGATCTGGGTTGTTGTTCCCAAAATCTATGCTTACTCGTTTCCGCAGTTCCAATGTGTAGAAAGCTGCAGTTCATCCCCAGCAACAAAAATACATGCCATTGGCGGATCCACGGGAGGCGGGAGGGGGGGGGGTTCGCTCCCGCTGCCCTCAGAGGCTTAGGTAGCAGCTATTTTACTGTAGAAAAGTCTAGTTGAAACCCCCTGTTGCCTCCTAGGTTTCGGGGGAAGGGGTTCAGTAAGATGTTCAAAAAAACGGGGAGGGGGGAGGGGTAATCCGGCGGATGAAGGGTGGGTTGGAAGCTGCCCGAGGAGGGGGGGAGTATAATGACGAAGAAGGTGAGGTGAAAAATACTCCTCCCCTCCACCTCCCTCACCAGGGGACCACCCTGGATCCGCCTATGATACACACTGTACACACATCTATCACTGATGTAAAGGCACATCCCAGTAAAATCACTGACAACCAGCAGTTAGATAATCCGTCACAACCAGCAGTTAGATAATCCGATTTTGAAAATCAGCTTTTTCAGTTAAAAAAAAACTTTAAAAGTTTAAAAAAACCGAAAAAGCTGATTTTCAAAATCGAATTATCCTAACTGCTGGTTCTGGTCTTCCTAGCGTATGATGACAAACTTCGAACTGCTAAAAACTGGCCTTCAAATGTCCGCCAAGAAGGAATTGCGTGAAACGGTCGTAGGCTTTTGAATCCACAGAATGCTCGCTGAAAATTATTGGCGAAGACGAATTGAACTTTTCTTTGACATGCCGTCGATGTTCGGCCAGGTGACAACCAGTCATCAACAATCTCGATAAATCCGGCCCAGTCACTCGCTGCAAAATTTATCAATTATTGTCGTAACTTTCCAGTAGCATGTGGTTTAATTCATTTTTTCTGGAAGAAAAATTTTTAAAAACTGAACATAACGCGGAAAATTAAATATGAAAAAGAAAAACCAAATTCAAAAAATAAATTCTTTAAAAAAACTGAAAAAACTGATTTTCAAAATCGAATTATCCTAACTATTGCTGTTGCTGCTGCTGCTGCTGTTGCCTGTTGGAAAATAAAAACCAAACTAAATACTGAAATGTAAAAAAAAAAAACCAAATATCCATTACTGGATTCAATTTACCGCTTCCTGGCAATTCTGATCCATTTTCAGCCGAATTCTGCATTGTTCAAGGCAAAATTTTGTCTTCTTTAACAAGATTCATACCCCAAACACCAAATTTTGCATTTTTTTTTTGGTGAAATTCGAATGGTTCATGCTAAATTTCGAACCCTTCCAGCTAAACTTGATTCAATTTTTGGCAAACTCAAACACAGACAATTTTAACCGACAATTTTAACTGCAATTAGCACCCTCCCATCTCCCCCCC